AATGCTATAAGAACAACAATGACATGTGACATGAATACATATTATTATTTAAACATTTAAAAAATTATCACACATTTATTATATGCGTATAGTCGTATAAATTATAATATTATTTTATACAGGGCATAAATAACAGAATAGGAAACAATAAGGGCAAATGATAACTTATAATATACCTATATCTTAATACAAAAATATCGTAAGTCTAATTCCGTTTGAATTTAAAAGTATTATAGTATTATACTTCAACTAAAATATAACGATAAGTATATAACTTATTATTACCTCAGTATATTTTTACATTTATATTTTGACAGTATAATATGAATTTAAAATAAAAATACTTTCCTAAATTACTTATAAAAGTGTTAATATTTTTTTTAAACCTAAATATTTTTTAAGTATCTATAATCTATTGAAGTACTAAAATAGGCTTAAATTAAGCTGCATAAAAAATTAATTAGTGCTAAATTTTGGTTTTAAAAATGATAGCCGATAGGTATAATCTACATATTATAATAATTATTAATTAATAGAAATTATATTATGAATCTTTATTACTTGATATTATAAATATAATTAAAAATATATGCTTATGCTTTATTTAAATAGGAATGTAATGTAAATTGTAATATTATGTAGGTATAATTTAATGTTATTGAAAAATTTATTTATGATCAATTTTTGACAACAAAAATTATCTACTTCATCACAATATTTTTCTTGTCATAGGTTTTCCAACAACATTATTTATATTTGTACATTATTTTTATGTTAACACTAAAATGAAAAATCGTGCCTAAATATTTTTAATATTTGTAAATTTATTTAAAAACAATTTATATAAAGAACCTTAAATTCCATTTTTATTAAACAGATATTTTTTATCTACGATTATTAAACAAAGAAAGCTCAAAAAATCGAAAATATTAAATATCTATAAATTACCCAGAGAGAAACAAAATATTTTTAAAACTTTAACATGTATACAACAGGTTAATTCAAACATTAAGTAAACATTTTAAGTATAATTCGTTTTGTATAACCTACAATAAAAGAAGAAACTGGTTTTCATAGCTCAGACTTTATAAAGAATGGGAATTTAATATTTAAATAATTGCTGAATAAGATTTTTTTAAATGTATACTATATTATGCATAATAGTCAAAGACTATCAAGACTATCAGGGAGGGACATGTCCCCCCTGGAAAATTTTGAAAAATTGTTTACACAAGATCTACAATGAGTGAAAATAAACTTGATGAATTATGCATGATAAGCGTTTAATGATAAAACGAATAAATACATAGAACAAGTAATAAATATATTTGGTGTTAAAAAAATTAATTTACAATTTTTATTTGTAAATTAATATTTTTATAAATTTATGTTAGGTATTAATCAAATGAAAATTCAATAAATAACTTTTATGGTTAATTGGTTAAATAATTATTATCATAATTTTCCAGTTTGATATATAAAATATAATAGTATAATATTAAATTGTAAGCCCCTTCCCATCTCATGAACATAATTAAAATGTTGTCCCCTTTGAGAATTTTTCTATGAGCGCCCTTGACAATAATATAATACACACAATATTAAAATTATGCAGTCGTATTGATTATAAATCCGCAGTTTAAAAACAATCATTAATTATTTTTCATAATAAAATTATTTATGCGTATATAAAATATATATTGTACATTACTTCAATTGTTTGTTTGAAATAATCTTCACTTGCGTTGCTACTTAAAACTCCACCAATGTGAAATTCATATGGATTATTATCGGTATTTTCTATTTCTAAATGTTCACTTTTACAACCAAATATAGAAAACAAAAATAACAGTAAAACACTGAAAACTTGTTTCATTATGCTAAATTTAACTTTAAATATCTTGGACATTTTTTTAAAAATTTCAATAAAAGATCAATAAACAATTTTTTGTGTACGCCCAAAATTTTAAGTTTAATTTTTAATATTTGCTTAAACTATTTATCGTTATTTTTATTAGAACTATAATATATATATATATTCAAACATATTAACATGTTCAAAAAATTGTTAAAAACCATTGCGATTACATTGTGATTTATATCGTATAATATAGATATGAATTGTGAATTTTTAACTGTGTAGAGGACGAAACCAAGTTACAAGTCCATAATGGACCACAGAGCATGCTTGAGAAAGACTGTAACTATAGCAACAGCATATTATCCTGTCGGGATATATTGATCAGATTACGGTATAGCCATACCTACAAAACTTAATAACCAAAAAGGTAGAAATAAAATTTATTTCTCAGTGTTAAAATATTTTTTTATATTTAGTTGATATTAAATAAGTATATTTATTATATTATTTTTAATTTATAGTACACACGATTAAAACTAACCAGCTGTACGCGTCTTATTTAGGTCAATTTCTAAATAATGATCCCTTAAAAAATAATTCTGCGTGAAGTTTATTGATGGATTTATTGTTTTTAAATTTTAAAGTAACCATCGTTGGAAATAAAAAATGGTTTGATATCCGGATGATTTTACACACACACCTAGGTACCCCTGTATTATACATAAAGACTGTTGCAGCACTGTTGCTCCACTAAATACATTAAATTATTATTAAAATAATAATTATGTACAGCATATTAATATAATACTTAGCTAGCTATATATACATAAAAAATTAAGCTATAGCCTCTATCAGAAGCTTCTATGAATGATTTTTTAGAGCTTATAAACATCCTACATTGTAATTGCAGAAGCCCCAATTTTACTATTAAATAGACTAATACTTATTTTATTTATCATCTACATAAATATTATTATAAAAAAAAACGGTTACAATAATTATTTATAAAATGTAATACGACGTTAGTTAGGTACTTGGATATAATATGTAGGTACACATCACTTCATCAGACAGGAATAGAAATAGCTGAAAATTTATCTTTTAGGTCTCTAGCACTTTTTTCAACAATGCTTAAGTAATATACAAATATATTATAACAGTTATTCTTAAATGCAGTGAATTCTTAAATAAAAATAACGAAATATTTAACCATACCAATATGCAGTAGTTAGATATAGCCATATAGGTGTTAGTTGGTACGAAAAAATTTCAAATAGTGTTGTGGGGTTGCTAACGAAAAATGACAAAAAATTAATATTTTTAGATATAAAAATAGGTATATCTTGAATCAACTAAATTAAACAGTACTTTATTTTAATTGTTACCTATATCGCTCCATCGCCCAGGCTGACAGTACTTCTGCTTAAATCTAAAAATTCAAAATTTATGTTCTATACCTATCTATTTTTTTTTTATCTCAATTTTAGTGGCGTATTTATGGAATGGGGGATATAGGGATAGATCCCCTTGCGTTTTTCTTTTTTTAAGACCTGGTATAATAGTATACCTAATTGTTACTTATAGTCTTAAAAGTTAAGTAGTTTTTTATCCTGTGAGCTATGAGCGAAATTACCATTGATTAAATATACATACTAATAATATGTTATATGTGCTATGTGCATTACAAATTAAAATAGACCATACCGTCGCGTCGAAATCGGAATCCTTACATAGAGTAACTGAAGTTAAAAGCTTACAATAGCTACACCAATTTTATTTTATAAAAAACTATTTTTAGCTAGGATATCAGACACCAGTGTTAAAAATATTGCAAACAATTTTTGGGGGATTATTATTAATTATATAATTTATAAAAGCACAAAAAAATTATTTCATATCCTCCTCCTCAAGAAAATCCTATATACGCCCCCGATTTCATACATCAAATCTGAGTGTCTAATATCTATGTGATCTATTTATGGAAAAAATACAAGAATAATTTTAAAATATTGTAAAATTACATATTAGTTAATTGTTCACTGTACTTAACACAAGTATAATTCAATTTTCCAAAAAAAAAAACTTATCATTAAAACAAATTTAGTTAAACTGTGGGTCGTATGTGATAATGTCGATTAAAGGATCCTTAAATTACAACTGTTTAAAACGTATTGTAGTATACCAATCAAACAAAATAAATAAAAATTTAATTTGATATAATTAATTTTGTGAGTTTTTTTTCTAAATGATATAACTTACCTATAAGTTAATAATTATAAATAGTACTATAATACTATTTATAATCAATGATAATACCATATGCCATACTTTTGCTAAAATTAGTTTAACCTACTTATTATTATTAAAAAAAAAAAAAAAAATTATCTAGTAAAATATAAATAAATTATAAAATATTTATGGAAATAGAAGTTGAAATATACTTAAAATTAAAACTCCAAAAAATAAATAAAAACATATTTGTAAAATTTTAATTATTATTTAAGCCTGTACCTACCAAGATATTAATAGCTTTGGCCAATATTAAATTACAGATAAAAAATGTTGTTCGATAAATGAATCACTCTCTACATAGATAATGAATAAAATAATTGTAAAAAAGTAATAAGTAGGTACTTACCAACTACATCTTTCAGATATTAAGTTATACATAATAACACTGATGTTACTAATATTATTCAAAATATTTTGTTTACCTTAGTAATATTTGATAGATACACAGCTCAGGTGGTTAATAATAGCCTAATTTAAGATACAAAATGTTGTTAAAGCCATAAACCTAACTTAGTTTATTATCAATCACAAAATAATTATTTGTTAGGTTTAAAAATAATAAAAACTATATAAATAAGCTATTTACATGACTGTCATCAATCACACAAATCTGACTATAACCTAAGTTTTAGATAGTGATGCATCATAATCGTAAATCTATATTTAATATATTTTATAATATCAATAATAGAAATATCATATTTCTAGAGATTTTAAATGAATACAAGATGTATAAATGTGTAGAATATAATATAAAATATATTTCTATTAAAAATGTAGATTACTAAATAAATTAATAATCTACAGTTACATTACACATAAAATAAAAATATGTGAAAAAAAAAATTTAAGTTATTGAAAATCATAGATGTGTAATCTGCGTAATAAAATAACCATTGAAATAAATTGATTAATTATGGTGTATTGAAGCTAATTCAATTGTTGATATAGATATCTTCAACTGTCTTAATGCATCTATTTCCAGAAAAAAATTCATTAACTCCATTGGCTACCGTATTTTCATCTAAACAATTTAATTTTAAAATAAAATATTAATATAATATACCAGAAACATGCATTTTTAATGAAATAAATAATACTTTTCAAAATTAATATCATGAATATATACCATTTATTCACTAATTTAGGGATCACTTGATTTCTTGGGTAGAACAAATTATATCAATGGTGTCAAAAGGACATTTTTTTGGGATAACCCACCTACAATTTTTGTGACGGACGAGTTGAGATGGTGGTTGTGAGTTAATTGATTTTACAAAGTACCGTGTTTATCACATATGTTACTATTTGAATTTAATAATAATTTTCGAATATAAATACTGTTTTGAAAAAATATGATGGTGGGTGAATGTATTTGATTAAAGTGCACCCTTGTGGTTCAAAAAATATATGATGCTACTGATTTATATTGAATCAAGACGTTTTTTAGAAACTAGCACCCCAGTATACATTTATAGGAATATGCATGGTACAATTTAAATTGTTTTTAAATATCAACAGTTTTTGTAAACTATACTTGAGTAAGACTATTTTTTACGTTATTTTAACTAAACACCAACCAGTTCTAAAATTAAATAACTGAAAAAGAAATACTTTAAATTAAATATTTGAAATTTTTTTTCCAATCTATTAAAATGAATAAAATCATTCATATTTACTATTTTTTAGATATCTTTTAATAGTAAAATGTTCTTGTAGTTAAAATTAAATTATAAATAGTATCTTAATTGTCACAATTACTTAATAATAATAATTATTCAAACTAAAAATGTTAAAAACTGTTAAATTTTCAACATTTAATAAATTTAAAAAAAAATGTATTTACAATAAAATTAAAATCACAATCAGCTAATTTTGATTTTAGATGCATTGTAGTTAGGTCAAAATGATAAAAAAAATAGACTTATGCAAATATAGTATCAGAAACAACTGTTTATTTAAATACCCACTAGTTTGTAAAAAAACATTCAAATTCAATCCAACATTATCCAGCTTAGAAATTACATTTTTCTTAAATTGCTGTACATAAGATAACATGATTTATATTAAAGATATAATGTACAAATCTTGGAAATGTATGTTGTAACTGCAGTATAATACTAGTATACCATTTTAGTGGCCACATGCCTAAATTTTTTTTTAATTTTATAAGACTATAATTAACTAACCAATTATATAATTTAGTTTACATAAATTGTAATAACAAAATATTTAAAAAACATAACAAAGTTACTATTATTTTTGAAGTTTATATAATTTTATTTTTAAAACTAAATTGAATTTATTTTGGTTGTGTTTATGGGATACTATTATACCACATAATATAAACATGATTTAACCTTCCAACATTTTTAATCTTACAAGTTCATATACGTGTTTCTGAAATTATAATTTTTTATTTTGATTTGTTTTTACTATGTTTATTTATACAGGCACATTCAAATCTAGTTGTAGTATTTACCAAATAGATACTTTTTTGTATTTTATTAAATAAAATAAAGTTTTAATAAAACTTAATAACTAAATAAAACAAACTTCACCTAAGAAAAAATTACCTGGGTCATATGATCGATCCATAAGATTCTTAGAGATTAATTTAGCAAGATTTTTAAACAACTGTCTATTGATACGATTTGCTTTGTAATAAGGTGTCATAAATTCAACAACCATTTTTACAATCCTTTTATGTGCTATAATACGTTCTTCTTCTTCAGACAATGGATCACATTCATAAGAATGACTATATCCAAACAAGTCTTTAAATTTCTGGTTCAGTCTTATTTGTAGTCTTTGAGGCAATTCATTCATACTGCTTCGTAATTGATATGATTTGGCTACTCGTTTACTTTTAACTTTGTCTATAAGAATTTCATTTATTTTGTCAGGTCGTATAACACTAGGACTTATGTTAATTGGTTTAGTTAATTCGGTTGAATTCTCTATAGATTTATTATTTTCAATTGCTAACCCTAGTGAAATTAAACGTTCTTCTAATTTTGGAGATTGTTGTTCATATTCAGGAGAATCTTGAAGATCTCTTAATAATGCATTAATACTTAATATATCATTTGAAGCGGAATTTTCTTGTTCACTTTTTTTTTGCACATTTTCAAATTCAGAAGATTCATACTTATAATTTACTTCCATATAGGCATCAGAAGAGGAATTTGAAGAACAAGATGATTTTAATAAAGAATTTAAATTATTAAAGATATTTGATTCAGAGATCTTAGATTTTACATTATAGGAACTAGGAGTTAAATTAGGTTTATTTACCAGATCTGTATTAACTTTAATAACAGGAAAGTTATTAGTTAAATTATTTTCAGGATTTGTCCATACTTCAGTCTGTGTTGATGTTATTTTATTACATTTTTGTTCAGTATTAACACTTACATCAATACCTATTGAATTGTTTGTTATATTCTTAGCTCCAAAAAAATTATCACACAATGGTATTTGATTGTTTGACTCAATAATAAGCTTAAGTAAATCATATAGCATTGAATTTTTTGTGCAAGTCTTGACTTTATTAATCTAAACAAATATAAAAAAAAACATTAACTATTAATCATTGTTAGAATAACTATCTATCTAATTACTGTTTACAGTGGCGTGTTGACCGTGATTTTGAAGGGCAGATGCCCGATCATTTTTAAGGGGTGGGTGCTGGGTTGGTGGGTACTGGATTTAGTAAGAAATATTATTATACAAGACTACCTGACTACATCATCTGAATTAATTTGTTATTTAATAAGAATAATAACTTCAATAGTTATAATTATGCTAAGAAAAGCTATCTAATAGTATACCTACATATTATTAATTACACATTATACTACAGTGTACATTCTACGAATAAGCAATAAATTAAAATAAGAAATTATAGTATTATGCTAGTGACTATGAGGGCATCGGCATAGGCATTCCGGCATAAGCATCTTGAGAATATTATATTATTGCGATATAATCTATTTTTAGAATCATAAACTCGGAAATATCCAGGTTTCAGCCGTTTGTAAAATAAAGTAATTTATATTGATTTAATAAAGGCACTTTTTTGTTGTATATAGTATGGCACATGGGTCATGGGTAGCGGGTACTGTGTAAGAATTAAGGGGTGGTAGGTTATTCAAAAAATGAATTGCCCGATAAAATATTTCACTTCGCCACGCCACTGACTGTTTAATTAAATTTAAATACTTTTTTCAACTATCTATGTAGCTTTATTCTACCTAATGATCATAGTTTATTATTCATTTACCACAATTGGCACAATCAATCTAATTTACCAAATAGAGGCTACATTAAGTTAACGTTGGCATAAACATAATAGTATACCTAACACTTAATTAATATTTTATTATAATTTAAGAATTTAAGTAAAGATAATCAACAGTTATAGATATAAATATAGACAATATGTTTTAAATTAATAAATAGTTATATAAAAATAAAAAACATACCAAATTAGTCATGCTTTTGCGATAAATACTAGCAATCATACATCGTCTTAAAGCTTGCTTTTCTAATTCAGCCATACATATATCAACACAATGTTGAATCTGATTAAGAGGTTTATTTTTGTAACTTTTAGTAACATCTAAATTATTGAGCAATGTTTGATGAAGATGTTTCAAGTATTGAGTTCTAACCAATTCACATAATACGTCCAAGTCTTCTAAATCATCATCTACATCCCATGGACTTTTAGGTAAGTCAATGTTCCAAAATGGAACTTTAGATGATATATTCTCAAATGAACCAAAAATATTAGACTCAACATTTAATGCCATTTTACCTAAAATAAATTTATACTATTATATCTTTGTTATAATTCTTAAATAGCTAATGTTTAAAGCAATACATTAAAAAATAGGATGGACTTATAACTAGTTCAATTTTTGTTTTAACTTTACCTGAAAATATGCTATCAATCAAAAAAAAAAAAAAACCATTTATATACCCAAGTATATAAATGTATAAGTTCATTTTAATTTTAAATAATCTGACTTTTTTCTGTGAAATGTTTCCAGTTTAACCAGTAATAATTATTGTAATATCAGTATATGTATTAATCTCCGTTAACAGTTTTTTTAAAGCTTGTTATGTTATATTATTTTGGCAAATATGGTGCAAGTTGATTATTACTGAATTTAAATAGTTAGGAACTTATACAATACTTATTTAACAATAAGAACAAATTAATATAATCAACTTGTATTAGATAAGTATTAGTTAATAATTGTAACATCCAAGACCCAAGTCCAATACATAAGTATTCATCTTATTTTTTTTTTTTTTAATTACTATAGGTATATTTTTTACAGTCCTGAAAAATCATTTATACTAATTAGATTTTAATACCTACCATGCTTTAATGGATAGTTGGTAATTAATAATTAATGAAACAAAATTTAAAAACATTAATGACAATACAATATTACATTTTAATTTTTAGTGTTTTTACATGGTCATAAACTTATAACTTATAAATTATAATCAGTATTCACTATTCGGTGAGACCACGCAGCGTTACTGTCTGACTACTCTGACTGTCTTAATAATGAATTAATTGTTATCAAATACCGAAATCAAATTCAACTTTTTCAATTGCTTGCAATTGAGCGATATGAAATACACTCGTTTTGTATCCACTAGATCGCATCAACGGCCTCTGCAAAGGCGCGAATCAGCGAATGTCGTATGTTAAAACACTTAAAACAAATAGTCGAAATTTGTGGCAAAGGGCGTTTTAGCGAATGTTTTTCAATTATGTTTCTTAATGTTCGGTTATGCGTAATTGTTGGACTTTGGGATGGGGTGCTTTGAAAACAAATCGAAATTTTGAAATTATATCTGTAGACTTAAGATAATTTAACAGTCTTGAGTTGATAACTCTTTCAAAACTTATATAGATAGAGAAGTTAATAACCTAATTGGTTATAGCTGTCCTGATATTTTTTATAAGAATTATTATGATTTTCTTTTTCCAGTTATGGAAAAAAGCGCGTTCAAATGAGAAGTTATGAACAATATAAAAATGACTGCTAAATTTGGTAATTTTTTTAACAAGAGATTTACAGTCGTGACCAAATAATTTTTAACTAGGCATTACAATCAATTTCGCTTTTAACGATCTTCAAAAAACCCAGAGAATTTGATCGTTGTAACAGAACTTCGTTAAATTCGACTTATAACAAGTAAGTAGTAACTACACATAAGATATAAAACCAACCAAATACATTGCTTGGAATCGTATTACCCGGAATATCGTTACATAGGTACGGCACCGTAATAAGCGAATTCGATTGCATTTTGATGATAAATTAATTTCGTTAGGAGAAACAAACTTTAATGAATTTTGAACTTAATAATTCAGTGATTTAAGGATTTAATCGACCCTAAGATTATTAAGGTAATTTACAAATTGATTTATAGAAAATATGTCCCGTAGAATTTTCGAAAAAACTGCATTTTTCTGCATTAAATTTATACTTACCATGTAGGACAGAGACGGATTTAACAATTTGCCGATTCTATATCAAATAAAATTCACTATCCTTGTCCTAAAAAAAAAAGACATATATTAGGTACTAAATAGTAAATACTAAATACCTATCTTTAAATAAATTTATGTATATTTTTATTCAAGTTAAGTTTGAAAATAAAAAGTTTCGATCCAAGTATAATACCAGTTGCTATATATTTTTATAAAGTAAAAATTTATATAAGAAAAACTTGATAAAATCGATAACTTACGCGCACGTTACTTATTGGAGGGCGGACAACTATCAACTAAATTCAATTATAACTTATAAATGGAATCAAATTGTAAAATAAACAATGTAATATTAATAATATTATTATTTATATGGCACGTGGTGAACCCGTAGTCCGTACTGATTACGATCTCAATAAAGCAAAAGTTTATATAATGTTAAGTGTATTATATCTTTAAATTATATAAACGATTAGATAAGCTAAAATAAAGCACAACTGTCATCGTCATTAACGAATTCCTAGGAAAAAAAATAATATATTACTTTACTAAAAATAAACAAATACAAAATTCAAATACAACGATCAATATGATGAAATGGTAAAATAAATTAAAAATTATCTAAGTTCATAACATAAAAACAAAATAAATATCCAATATAATTCTGTCATCTACACTCCTATGCGGCCGCAGAGTTCGTAGTGCCTTAAATCCTTCCCAGGTGTAGGAGTGCGAAAAGAAGATATAAAATTGTTTTATGATCAAGTTATCTATCCATGACTTTTCGTAAACTAGACTATAGTGTCACAATGATGAATGTTTGACAAGAACTTGGTATATTTTACGCGGAAGTTTACAGGGCAGTTTACACTTTTATTATAAGCTTAATCAAATATTTTTTTTTACCACGTGGTTTCCTTGATTTTGCCAAACGCGCTTAGCATTATATTATTTCTGTTGAATTAGTGATAGTTGGTTGAAGTAAAGCACTGTGACAACTTTGAAGGTGTAGTGTTTGAGTACGCCTATATAACATTAGTAACAATTTCAGTGAAATGTTTAACAATTTTTTCTACTATTTAATGAGTAGGTTTATTTTTAAATTATTATTTATATAGTTTAAAGTGGTGTCACCGGACGCCTTCTTCTCTCAAGTCTACATGTCTTTTGTTTTCATTTTAAGCCCTTCATAATTTGCTTATTGTATAATAATAATGTATACAGATTGTAAATATTCTTTAAATAAAAAATAAAAAAAATAATAATATAGTCTGAGTAAATTTGGTTTCCTTTTAAATAGTGAATTAATATCGATCGATAGAAATTATAAAATTGTGTTAAGAATCCTATGACTCACTTTAGAGTCATAATAAATTAATAACCAATAGGTATATTTCGCAATAATTTAGTAAAGTAAGATATTCTTTTTTTTTAAAAGACCATGTCGCCAAGACAGAAATATTAAAAACAAGCAGTAGTCAGTCGTATGGAAGTCATAGATTCATTACATACTGTGTTAAACCTTTAATAGTGTATAAATGAAATATTTTTTAATAATTGATTAAATTAATAAACGATTCAAATATACACAGGTACACAGCACATATTAGTGTTTGAAGTATCTCCCTATTTTAACGAACTCTTTTTTTTCAACATACTCAATGCCCAATGGCCTTAACCGGACAAGTATAACAATTGTAATGGAAAATTGTTGATTTGACTAAGTTTCGAGTTTAATACGGAGAGTGAGAGATGTTTCTGTACAATGTTTTACTGAATTAATTTGATTAATAAAATATCAAAAATGTCGAGAAATCTATTAGTCTAATAGTATCTGCTATATAGAAAATAAGTTTGTTTGCTTGGTACAGATAGTGATATAACTGATATAAGCAGGATCAGATATGTATATTTTTTGTGTTTTATTACCGTTTGGATTTATAATACAGCATCTCCAATTAGTATATTTTGAATTTAAATCCTCGGCCGACAGCCATAATAATGTTATTTTTAAGATTCATTATCATTAATTTTTTTTAATTTAAATATTGTAGCCATAGAATAAATATTAATTATTCTGTGATTGTAGTCCGTTAACTGATTATTATCGGTGTATCGCAACTGGTGATAATAAAATGTTCATGGAAAATTTTTTTGAAAAAGAAAAGATGTTAACATGCGTGGTGTACTGTACCTACTGAATTGTTATGAATCGTGTCAATAGTGATATTGTGAAGTAGTGAGTGTGAATAACTGAATTCTGAAGTAGCGATGTGGTAGGAATAGTGCTTAATGGAACTAGTGGGAGAAGTAAATTAAGTGTTTAATAAATAATAATTATCATTTTCTAAATAGTAAATAGTAAATACTATAAAAATAAATACCAATAATTCCATAGAAAAACGTGTTGAGGCTTATATCTATTCCGGACACCGTATTATTCCGTCAGCAATGATTGTTATTTGTTAATGGTTAATTAATTAATTTTCTCTTTTAACTATGGTCTGCTGTATATCTGTATCTCACTCTCAACGTAATGTAATAAATCGCACTAAAAACATGTTATTTTGTGTTGTGTTTTCTTGAAATTTTTTTGCTGCCTAAATGTCAAAATGTCTACAATAAATATCTCCAATTATTGGATTCATTGATTAGGTTCATTTTACTGCTTGATTTGTAGGTAGTATTTTCCGAGGTAAGTTTTATTTATTTATTTATTTATTTATATTGATTTTATTACAAGGTATTGTATTTGGTTCCTGTATGGACCATTAGTAAATTATATACTTTACTCTAAATTATTTATGAATGTTTGCAATATAATTATTGAGTATGTCTGAAAATATTTGAAATAATGTATTGGCATATATAAATATATTAGTATGGATTTTGAATTAATTTTTACAATATTCATTAGTAGGATATGCATTTTAATAATGCTTACTATATGTTTGTTTAATTAAGTATGAATTAAACAACTACCTATTTTTAAATTTAGCTTTTAAAATATAGTAGATACTGTAAAATACCTAGGTACTGTTCATTTAAGTAAATATTATTTTAATAATTTATTACTCTGAAGTAAATACTGTTAATAATTAATAAAAATTAAAAGTTTAAGACATTTATTTTATTGATAAATTATTAGGACAATAGGTATTTTATTTTCTTAAAAGTTTTTAGGTTATTAAGTTTTATCATATCTTATATTCTACATTTTCATTAACTTAATGATTTATATTATCAAATATATAATTTTAATTATTAATTAGGTACATTTCAGTAGTTAATTAGTCATTAGTCATTATATTTTAAAACATATTTTATGTATAATATTGAAAATAATATTGTTAAGTTATTAAGAAAATAAAAACAAAAATTAATTTTACATTCCATCCAAGGAGCAGAAATAGGGTGGTGGGAAAATAAGAAAGTACTCATAAAGCGAACAAAAGTTTTAAGAGTTTAGATGCTGAAAAGTACTTGTAATTAAATTTGGTACATTTATAAAGAATTAAGGTTGAATTAATTTATATTGATAAAAAAAAAAAAAGAAACACTGATTATCTTAAGTGTAGAAAAGTAAAAGTAAGTGAACTTTGACTTTCTGATAAAGGTATGCTTAGAACATACAGCTTTAAAATCATCACCCTTAGATTTATGCTGTATATGGTTTGATAGTTCTTATTTTGTATTAGTCAATCAATATTTGCAGTATAAAATCATTATTTTAGCCGTTTTTTATTGAATTGAATGTGGTGAAAATTTGTAGGGACCAAAGCTTGATGCATTTATATTATTATTATTATTATTTTATCTAATACATTACACTTCTACTACAGAAGTATTGATGGCATAACTTTTAAATTGATCATAAAAATGTATTGATCATAGCCACTGGCATAATATTATTTCACTTGCTCCATATCAAAATAATTTGTTAGCTAATAACTTGATAGCATTTATTATTATCTATATTAATCAATAGTTTTTGTAGTTAAATGCTAAGAAGTAAATGTCAATGAATAGTATCTGTTAAAATCTTAAATTTTCCCATCAATTTCAAAATAAATTTAATTAAATTTTCAAATAAATGTTATGTCTAATATCATTTTAATTCATATGGAATATTTGTTGACTAATAAGACAGTCTTTTTTTTCTTTTTTTTTTTTTTGGTTTGGTTCAATTAATTTATAGAATTCTTTTAATTTAATAATTTTAGACATTTTATTTTTTATTTTTCAAATTTTATATTATCTTTTATTAGTTAAAAAAAAAAAAAAAAATCTATAAGTAATCAAGTTATAGATTTTAATTAAAAGATTAAGTAAAAAAAATAAACTTTTCTAGTTTGTTCAAAAAAATTGCACCTCTGGTGACTATTAACTATTTTACTGTGAGTTTCAATATTTTTACTGCTTTATTGTTTTTAACTTAATAGATATAATTTATTGATTGGATTACTGTGCAGAGATATGCTGAATTATAGGAAAAAATATATTGTCTTATATGCATAAAATGTTTTTATTTGATATGAATTTATTATCTTCACATTCAATTGAAAATTAAGAGATAGATAAGTTTGTTAATATCAAAATGTTTCCAGATAATTTGAGTTAATTATTTCTAAAAGTTATATTTTATTGTGTAACTTTTTAGCAGTATATTTTTTGTGATCTGCTAAAAACTCAAATAATTTTCTTAAATTAAAATTAATTTCAGATATGCCTCCCCAAACACTTAAAAGACCTACAGAAGATGTTTATAATAGTGGTACGTACACTGTACAATCTAAAGAGAGTTTGTAATTCCCTAGGAATCAGTTTATTTTAGAGTTATTTAGTTTAAGTTTAAGTATAATATAATTTGTTTCGATTTACTTATAGATGATGAATATGACATGGGTGATACATGGGTTAACAAAAAAAAGTCAAGATATTTGTATACATACAAATTAAAATCACCTGATGATTTATTTGAAAATATAAATGATTCAGATCAATCTGAAAGTATTGATAGTACCCAATCCAAAGCTACAAGTAATAATTTTTTTTAAAATATTTAAGTTGACTCCTAAATTTAACTTAAATATTTGACGTGAAGTGTTAAAATTGTATGATTTAATATAAATAATATTTCTATTAATTTAAGTTTTAGTTAATATTATTAGATGTTAAAAACAAATTATAATTTTAATTCATTAACCTATAGTCCGGATTAAGGGAAGTAAATTTAGTAATAGAAGAAAAAAAATTGATGGTTTGGTTTATAAACAATGAATTGCTATGTTATATGTCTGTAACAAAACAAATTTAATTTTTCAATTATTTGTTGAAATAATATATGATTGTTTAAAGTATTTAATATTACTATAATTTGAAAATCTTTTTAAAAAATATAAAAATATGCATTTTATATTTAGTTTACAACTTTTAAGATTAAGAATAAACAAAAAGTAAGACTGTTTTAAAAAAATTATTGGTTACTAATAATTTTATAACTTAAAATATTTAAATAATAAAGTAATTTTAAATTTTATAGTGTAATAATAATCACCCAAACCTCTACTTCAACTTTCTTTGTACACCTAAATTTTTAAAAATGCCAGTCCTTCTTTGATTAAAAAAATAAATATTCTTCTGTAATAATTAGTCTTAATCCGGGCTTTACCTATTAATTTTAATAATATAATATGTTAATTAATAATAAAATAAGATAAGTATTAGATTTAACGCTCAAAATATTTAAATTCGTATTGATATTTATTTTATTTATGCACATTTATATGCATACATATATTTATGTATGTATGTTAAATACATTATTTATGAGAATATTATATTGACAATACATGGATTATTTTTAATTGTTTTTGATTTGTATTATTATTGTTTTAAGTATTATTACAATATTAGTACAACAATTGAAAAAAAAAAACTATTGAATTATTTCAATAAACTATGATCATATTGATCAACTAATAACTGAATAAGTTTTGTCTTCAATACTTAGTTTTTTTATCCAACTGAATGTAATTAACTGAAAATTTTGATAATATAAAAAAAAATAATATTATGCTCAATCTGTTTTTATTTTATTTTAGTATTGAACGATAAATATTATAAATTATAAATATTTATAATTTATAATTTATTTCAATAAATATAGTTTTGATATGAAGAAGAATGAAACTTGGTTATACTTCTGGATCAAATACGAGTTAATATGTAACAGTTCATCAAAACAAAATAATTCTTGCACCACGTCAATTTTTAACTTTACTTTATATATTTTGTGTTTTAAGTATTAATTAACTCAATCTTTTTTTAGTCGAAGTAGGAGATATTCTTGATTTTTCATCTGTAACAAGTTGTCCAAGTGATTGTGATTGTGATAGTCAAAATTCTAGTCAAAGTGATAGCGACTATAAAAGTTCAAGTCAATCAGAAAGTGAGGTAGTAAGTATTAATTCTTATCATAATAATTTAAATTATTTTTAATCTTTAGATTCTTCTTCAATATTAACCCTAGATTACATGTGTTTAAAATATTCACGAGAATTTAGGCACACTGTGTTTTTGACCATGTATTGAAAATAATTTATATTTATTATAATATATATCTCATTAATATAATGTAATATTGTGTTTTCTATTACTGTACACAATATTATTTTATAATTAGAGAACACAGATCCGTAGATAATGTGTAGACAGAATGCTACAGAAAGTAGCGAAATAATTGTCTGAAACCTTATAGTTTTAAATATACATAACTCATAAGTATACTACATCATTATTTAAATTTTGATTAATTTCATGAAAAGTTTAAAATTTTAAACAAATTTTATAATATACACTATTTGTTTTATTAATTGTATGTTTTTTCAAAAAAAAATATTTATATTTATATTGATTAAAATATTTTTATACGTTTCTTATAACTAATTATTTTAATAACTTTGTTCATTTTTAGATTTCAAAAAACGATATCTTTCTTGAGGATGGTTATGTCCCTGAAGATACAGATTTACAAATATTTATTTCAGAGTCAAATTTCAAGTTTCCAGTAATTTTTAAAAATTGCTGTAAATGCCAAAAACCAAATTCCAACCATTATTTTCAATATTGTAATCAGTGTTTTAAAGTAAGTAATATTATAAAATTAAACATTTTTTCTTTCTTAAGAGCACAATAACAATATGTGATCTGAGATTATTTACATGAAAATTTGATGGTAGAAGTCAGTTATAATACTACTTTTTGTTTTGTTTTTTGTATATTTCTTCATTTTCAGTTTTATGGGGATTTTCAGCCAATGTAAGAGTAGCTAGATTTTTTAAAAAAGGTTCAGATGAGAAAAAAATATGTTTATAAAATTAACTTGTTAATATTTGAAAATAATAAACTTAAAAAAAATAATTAGAACTTAGAATTTTAATATAATTTTTTAAATACATTTAAATAATTATAGATTAATAGATTTTAACAAAAAAAGTTATGGTCAAAATATCCAATGGACAAAAATGTTAACGCCAAAAAAGGGAAGGAAGATAACTACTTTATCATTGAGGAAGCCATTGTATATATCTATTATAATTGAATTTAAAGATAAATCATAACACATATTAAACGTTTCTGAATAAAGAAAATCTGTTAGTCTATATTTTGTAATATATTTATATTGCTATTAAATCAATTTATTTTACTATTTATTTTAGTAGGTTGAATTAATTTTGACAAAAATTGTATCATTTTATATATAAAATATAATAATACAGTAGAATCTTATTAATCTGACACATAATTGTACCATAATACTGCCAAAATATTGAAAAAACTAGATATACAGTAAAACCTATTTTATGCGAACCCTTGATAAGACGGATTCCTGTTCTGTAACAATTTTTTATGGTACCGGTAGATTTCTATAGTTTAACATAGGATTAAACCATTGATAAAACGGAACCTGTTTTACGTGAAACGGAAAGCTATATTTTGGTCCCGTAAATCATATATACCTTTAACAAACGGAAAAACACATCATAAAATGAACAAAAATATTTTTTATGCCTGCATTTATTTTGCTACTGAACAATTATTAAGGTCAGCGATTAATATGTATCGATAGATAACTAAATTTTATCTTGATTTTATAAATTAGCGCTTATTATTGTCACCGTAGTCGAAGTTTACCTGTTGTTTCGTATTGTCTTACCTACTTGTTCTCACAATGTCTAAAATTTGTTTAAGTTTAAATGAAAAAATAAAAGTCATTGAAGAAAGTGAAAAAGGAAATAGTGTTATTATAATTATTTACTAAAAATTCAAATTTATTGTGGCCTATGATATTTATTAATTTTTAATATTGACCGGAAAATGTTACAACTTTAATCGTGCAGTATATCGTAACTCTATAGTACGGAATTTTCTGTTTTATTCAGTTATAAGGAAACCTGCCTAAAACAGAAATTTTTATTGGTCCCGTGCAATCCCACACAAGACAGGTTTTACTGCACATACAAAAATCGGATGAAAATTTAAATTTATTTATTTTCATTACACTTTTATTAAATTAATTGTGCACTGTATAAATATATTAATTCTTATCATCAATAATTTTATAATTTTTATAGTCATTCCAACAATATTGGATGATTCAATTACATTAAATTGTTGAGTTTTTAATGATAATCCAAAAATAAAACTATAGTTAGATGAGGTAAAAATATGCCAAAATATCAAAGTTTTACTGTATTTGTAAACATTTCTAGTTTACTGTAACTTATAATTTTAAATTAAAACAAAATAATTTAAATTGTTATTTTTCATTCATATATCTAATTTTATCCAAATTTTAACTTGAAAAATTGTGTTTTTATATTTTTTTGTTTCATTATTCAAAAACATCGTATTAAGTTTTCAAACCTTTTAATTGGGTGAAATTTTTGTTATCAATATATTTTATTAAATAAAAAACAAAATTTTTAATTTTAACTGTCTATAAAGATATTAAAAAAAAGATCAAAGTATAAGCATTAACTAAAAAATCTACTTTGCTACCAGAAAGTATCTCAAACTTTAAAAACTATGTGTGACCATCATTGACATGATGAAATTCTATCAATAAATTAATTTATCATTCATAAAATTCCAAAGGGTTTACATTAAGTTTAAAAATTGGCTAATTAGGAAACTAGTAACTACATTAGTTATTAATGAGGTACTATTGGGCACTTATTACATAAATAACTATAGAAGACAAGAATACAAACAAAATATATTATTTTTAATTTTCAATTATTATTATTTTTCTAGCATCGGATGCAATTAATTGAGAGTACATCAAATCCAAAACCAAAGAGCATCAAACGTTTATATAACATGCCCAATCGCACAGAAGAAAATTATTTACCTAAAGATTCTCAAGAATCATCTTCGACCTCAAATTCTCAAGAATCATTGAATTCTTTAGGTATATCTGGCTTATGTTTGTCTCAAGACAATACACTTGATAATACATTTGAAAACACTACAAATTCTTGTAATGTTTGTTTTTTGAAACCTAAAAATGGTATTTTTAACCACGGAAAAACGGCACATGTATATTGTTGCTATACATGTGCCAAACATATATGGAGTAGGTCGGGCAAATGTCCTATTTGCAACTTGAAAATTAGATATGTTACAAAAGCAGTCCGTGTTTAATGTTATTTTAGTTTAATTTTATCACCTATGTTTATTTTTATAAATGTATACTTTAAAAACTTATATTTTGAATATATATATTTATAATATTTAAGTGTCATTTTTGAATACCTATAATGCAATTTTTTTTTAAAGTTGTATCTTAATGTTTTATTAACCAGAAAATAAAGAGTAACAAATTTATATTATATAACGAAGTTACTATTAAACAAATATTAATCTAGATTAAACACAATAACCAAAAAAAGATAAACAAGTGGGGGCTCTGCTGTATATTAGGTATCAAGTGGATTACAATTATGGGTGTATCCATGTAAACAAAAAATGAGTGGAAACAATCTGTCAGCATAATATATCACTAAGTATATTTCATGATATATTTTTTCAATGTAGCTATTAAAGCCATTAGTTATAAGTTATAACTCATAGTTAAAATAATTTATGGTTTTCTATGAATAATGATAAAATGTAAATTACTGATTGTGTATAAAATACAATTCTTAGAAATTGGCTCTCTTATATATTTTAAGCATTAAAATAAATTATATTCATACAAGTGCTACAAGTAGGTACTGCATTAAATTATATTTGTATAAATTTGACTTCTATAGTTGTGGTTATTGCTTCAATAACTTTGACTATTACAAACTGAATTAAACTAGGCAAAGATTAAATTTGATAACTTTTAAGGTAACCATGGTTACAAAACAATTATTTTAATAACAATTTAAAATTTACATAAAAGTTCTTGTTTTTTCTTAATTTTCTATTTGTTTTTATCGAATATAAACAATTTTTTAGAATTTTAACCTTTTTAAACTACAAACTATGTTCAATTTGTTATTCAAAATACCCTCAAAAGTTTTTTTTGACTACTTACCGTGTACATACACAAATAGAAAAAAAAACCTCATTGTGAAATTAATACATTTATTTTACCGCTCAGAATCTAAATTTATATTTTAAATTACTATGTTGAAATAAAATAAAAAATTAGTAGACATGTAGATGTTTTGAATGTACTTCGTCATTGATTATGTCTCTGCAGAATATGTTAATTTAAATCCAATAATAAATTATTGCAAATAAAAAACAATTTTAAGAGGAAGCAGTCTTATCTATTTGATAACCTTATCATAATAGTATATATTTATATTATATATTATTGTTAAATTTTATATTTGGCATATTTTAGGTGGGTCCCTTCCATGTCTGGACACCTCTCAACTTAAAAAACAAGAGTAGGTTAGTATTTTATCAGATCATATAACATATTTTGAGGCTTATTTTTAAATTTAATTTATAGTTTGGAATGTCTAGGAATTATTTGAATTTCAGAAATTCATTAACACCCCCCAAAAAATCACCCAAAATACATAACCGACTACTATACAATAGAATGTACTGAATAAGTAAATCCTTAAAATTAATCTAAATATTTTTTAAATATTATTGTGTACTTTAATAATTCATAAAAAATGGCATTACATTAAATTTCTTTTTTATAATTTTCATTTTATTATTTCTCAAGTACTATATTTTTAAAATTAAAACTATATATATTTAAAAAAAAAATAAATTGCAAGTTTTTGTGATTTTAATGAATTTTGTAAAAATTTGAACTGCAAACTCATAAAAAAAAAAGTGTATAAAGTATAAACATAAATTCAATATTTTTTAAATCTACTAAAACAGCCTTATAAGAAACCTCATTTTAAAATATTCAAATTTTTATTCTTCAATTGAAAATTTCAAATATCTATAAATAGCATTAAAAGTGCCAAAAAATTTTAAAAATTATATTAAATCAAGTAAAGATTACTATGAATATTTTGTGAAAACTCCAGGTCTTTATAACTATTTTTGAATTACAAAAAACACTAAGTTTAATTTTATTAAAAATTATATAGTTTAGAGTAAAAATTATATTTTTCATTCATTTTTCCTAATAACTATGAAAATAACTGAGACATTTCTATTTTTACCGCACAAATATACTAATTAGATTCATATTACTTTTAAAAATCACCTTTAAAGTTAAATATCTCAACATTTTGCCTATATATACACAAAAAAAAAATATTATAAAATTGTTTAATTCAAAATCTAAAAAATATAGATCCATTAGTTGTTATGATGAGATTTGAATTCATAGTAAAGTATATTTGAATATTCTCATACTAACCTGAGGAGTAAACAAAGTACCTATAACTTAAGTTAGGTTAAATATTTTAATAGTTAAAAATGTACAAGTACGAAATTTCAAAACTACTAAAATTTAAATGTATGAAAATATTGAAAATGTTTATGCTTATTATAAATTTTGATAAAATGTATTGAAAATGAAATCTGAAAGGAGGAAGTATTATTAATTATCTATCAACGGTTTTGATAATACTCTTGTAATCAAAAATAAATTTAAAAATCTATCTGCATACTTTATTCTTCCCATAGAAAATCTAACGAGCATGTTTATAAAATCAGTTGAAAAAACACCTTGGATCGAAATTGAGTGTTTGAAATGTTTTTAACCATATTGTACTCCACTCAGTAAATATTTTTTTTCTACCTATTAATCATTGCGTTCAATAATAAAATGTATAATAATAACAAATTACAAATTACAATTATATATTAAAACCGAGGTTAATTTAAAAAAAAAAATTACATCACTTATGTTTATTGTAAACTATTTTATAGATGTATAATAAAAATATTTTATAACAAAAAAAAAAAATAAATAACTATTTTAAGAGTTGTACTAAGTAGGTAAGCGAAACGAGATCAATGCCTACGACACCCAGCACTATATAGTATATATAATAATCATGTGTATCTAAGTATTCAAATATGCCACGAATTTGTGGCCATATATTTGTTTTAATTCTGTCAGTGCTTTTTTGAGTTTTTTCAACATTAGTGTACAGACGGAACGTTTAAGGCTAGAGCAACTTAAATATATTGTATAATACCTATTTAATAAGTACCTAATACCTATATATTTTAAATATTTGTTACATAAATGTAATGCACCCGATCAACATTCAGTTTAAATATTACTCAAATAAAAATATTAATTAGCCAAAATAAAGTGCAATTTTTTGTTTTTATAAGAAATTTACAATTTATTCTTTTCTAGAACAATAAATAAATTTGACAAAGAGTAATTACATGTGATTATTTTGAAGTAAAAAGCCACCATAGTGACATTACCGTCTACCTGTTTTAAATTTCAAGTGCTATTGTTAAGACATACAATTTCTAATATCTACTTAAAATAGGCTATAACTAAATACAAACAATACGTATAATATATAGGTATACACTATAGACTATATAGTATATAATATGTTAATTTGTTTACTTTAATCGCATATTTATTTTCATTTAAACAACTTCATTCCATTATTCCCACAGACCTACTATGTCCCGTAGTTTATACCTAATACTTATTAGATTATTGCCGTGAAAATAAAAATAACAATGACCCTGACAAACACACCCTTTCTACAAGCCAAGCTGTTAAGCACGTGCAACTAGTCCACGAATATTTATTCCTCTGTCAGTCCCGACTTACGTTTATGTATTATTGTAATCAAAGATTACGTAGGTACCTATTGCGTAGCTTTCTGAAATAGCTCATTTAATCCTTTACGTAGGTATTTATGTGATCACGTTTGGTAATCCTTATATATATATATAAAAGAACAGGCCTTTTTTGTTCCAATTTTGTGACGACACTATTCAACATTTTTCCAATTTTTTTTTTCACCTGGTTGTACCTAATGGCTAATACTGCTACGAGTGATCTATTATTCACAATTTAATTTTATTCGTCATTTCAGCTATTTTGAGAAAGCACAAATTACACACGGACGAGGTCGGGTAATTCATCTAGTAAAATATAATTCTGTGATAATATGTAAGACGTAGGTAAGTACGTTCAAATTTCAGGCACTTGGATGAATAATTCTGCCAATATATTATAATTGTATAATAAACGTCAATCTTAAAGGAATGTATTTTAACTTTTATTTTTTTAAAACATTAATTACGAACAACAAATGATATTTTTATATTACACAAAGATAAACATAGGTACTGTCAAACGGTTTTGAATACAATAAATGTAAGTTCAAATCAAGTAGGTAACAACAGAGATCACAGAAATTACATAATTATAGCACACTAACATTATGGATAGATTTTGTCGCGTGATTTATTGAACACGCACGACACTTGTATTTCAGTTTTTTGGAGCGTTAAATTATAGAGCAGCATAACAAAATAGTCGGGGTGGTATGTTAGTTTGTTAGATATAATAGTACCTATATTGTAACTATATTGTTGTATGCGTTTTCCATATATTATATTTGAAATGTTTGTTAATAAAAAAAAATGCAAAATAAATATAACCTTTACGCGTAATTGTGAGTTTGAAATGTTCATTTTAGAAATACATCATTAAAAATAAAGTACATTACAAAACTCTTTTTATACCCTATATGCTCAAAGCAGTCAAAGCTCAAAGTTGGATTATTGATCTACCGAAGTAAATTGTTCCGCGTTATCTTTCTAACGGTTATTCTTCCAAGGCATCGATTTGTGGTGCAAGTACTTTAGGTATGACGGTCGATGAACTGACTGTTAGAGTGTTAACTAAACGAAAGATAAAAAAATTGACTATCGGATACAGAAATTGTTAAAGTATAAGGTCAGAGGGATGTTAGTTGTTTTACCATAACTCGTTTAAAATAAGGTATTCGCATATAAAAAAAGGGAGTGTTGACGAGGTTAGAATCTACACAGTTAGAATTTTATAGGATTTAAATGTAAAAAATTCTCAACCCTTAACTATTTATCAAAAAAAAAAAAAAAAAATTTGGGGAAAATGGAAATTTCTAGACATAACCTATCTTAACTAGGTATTTTGTTTTGTTATAAAAATATTTAAATTTTTTACCACAACGTGGTGTTTAATATTTTTTGTTATTAAAAAAAAATGTTAAGTTTTTTATTAAAAAAACCAATATTAATTATTCTATATTATAGCAATTTAAAAATATTAAAAATACAAATATTGAAATAGATAACAACTTTTTTTTATAAGTATTTAAAATTAAATAATTATTATAATTTTAAAAATCGGGAAAAGTAAAAGATACGCAATTTCCAATTTAAATAATTAAAGTTTCATAAATATAAATTATAGAGAGATAATATTAAAATTTTAACGAAATAGGATATTTAAATGAAAAATGATTTTAGTGTACAGAGCGACTCCTGATTTTTGTTTTTTAATGAAAATTGAAATATACTTACTATTGAACTTAATTATTAAATATTTAAATAACATTATGATACTTTGTTTTTAGATTTAAGTTTAAAATAATATTGTTTATTAATTTTAGTAATTATATTAGGTAATATAATATTATATTAAATGTATTGTACAAATGTAGGTATACTTACATAATATAATTACGAGATTTATATTTTATAAAGATAAAATAAATAATAATACGATGTTTTTTGTCAGTTTATACCTTCTTTATATATTATGTTTATATAAATATAATTGGTACTTAGTTTTATTTAATAATTAATTTACCTGTACTGCGAATAGTACCTAACTAAAGTTTAGTATTCTAGTGTCTAATAAGTCCCATTGATTAAATTCTTAAATATATTGTAGTTAGGTAGTTGTTAGTATATTTCAGGGACTGAAATTGTTTGTAGGTATTACATTTTGAGTGTGCAGTACAAAGTTAATATGTGTGTACTGCACTTAGTAATTAGAATCATGAAATTATTTTTAGATGTTTGATTATAAAATTTGATTTTGTCTCAAATTATTTTTTATGTTTAATAATTATAAAATCTAATGATTATAGACTAATAATAATATAAAATATATTTTATTTTATTTTTTTAGAAATTAAATAATGTTTTTCGTTTAAAACATATGTTAGGTATTAATAGTTATCCAATGTTTATAATTTCGAATAATAATAGTAATACAGTATAGCCTATAGGTATACTAATTTTTAATTTTTAAATATAGAGTAATTTATCCTGTATTAAAAAGTCTGATAATTTCTTTTGAAATACTGCCTATACTTACCTACTCATTAGGAATAATTAATTTATAATAGTATAATACAGTTATCTAAATGTTATGTTATTTTTATACATATATTAGGATTTAATAAACTTAGATTAAAGTTTTAAAGTCCTATAAAAAATGACCTAAATAATCTACCAATACAGCCAAAATTGGGCAAGTTAATAAAAATTATCAACTTGATCTAGTTAAGTTAAACCAGTGGTGTATTTACGAGGGGGGATCAAGGGGATAAATCCCCTCCCATAGGATGTATACACACAAATAATTATAGTTATCATATTATTTAAAAAATTTATATTTTTTAATTTTTTATCAATAATTGATTCAATTTGCAAGAATTAAAATATTATAATAAATTGTACAATATTCTCATAGGTATCTTCATTTATAAAGTCATATCCTCCCCCATGACGAAAATCTAAATACGCCACTGAGTTAAACCAACATTGTGAATGTTAAGCTATAAATTAATAGTTAACAATTTATTATAAAATGTTTATTTTGAAGTTTAATATGGGAAAAATATTAATTTATAAATTACTTAAAGCCCAATTTTTTAATAGGTACAGCAATGTAGCAATTTTGATTTTATTGAAAATGAAAATTATAAAATTATAATTTAATTAAATTATAAATACCTCTGCAATCGACAAAAATTTTAAATAATATACCTAATTATTGTTCAATGCAATCTCATTAAAATTATGCTTTACGAAAATTGAAATATTTTATTCTCTGGTAAACTTGATCAATGTAAATAAACACTTCAAATTTAATTAAAGTACCTAATAACAGCTAGTAATAACTAATAAGTATGCAATCATTCTGGCTAGGTACTAGCTTACTACTATAACTATAGTAAAAATAATAGTATTGTTCTGAATATTGACTAAGTGTCAGTGACAAATGATAATATAATATAGATCAAGGATGGCCAACATAAATATTGAATAGGTTTGCAGACCACTTGGGTAAATACTAAAATATCAAGAGCTAAAATGTTTATAGATACATTTTATATAAATATATCAATGGATCACATTGACATATCACAATTGTCAAATATGTACAGGTACCAAAAAAATTAAAATTTATAATAGTTATAACAAGTAAATTTTGATTTTAAAAAGAAAACGGAAGCTGCATCTAGCATCTGACAATGACGAGAGCCACATGTGGCTCGCTAGCAGCAAATTACTCGTGTCAGGCATAGAAAGTACAGAGAACAGGTTAGTGTACTGTGTAGTGATATCTGATACTAATTAATAATTAATTATTTAATTAGGTTTATAAGAATTAATAGAATTTTGAATAGTGTTCAATTACTTGAAACATTTAAAATTTAAAATAATAAACAATAATAATGGTTAAATTATTTTTATTGGATCGCTAATGGAAATTGGAAAGTTTAAAGAATGTTTATCAGTTATAACAGCTCGTTCTGATAACCGACAAAATGACGTTAACACTAAAAATCTATATCACAGAAGTATATCACCGCACCGAATCTTTTTTTTCTAAATTTCAATCGATTACCGCGTACTATTGTGCTTGAACTGCTCGTGCGCACGGTTCATCTGTATTACGCTACAACTATGCGTTAACTTGACAGTAAAGTTTCTGGCGTACTGCTGGTTGGGCGTTTGTTGTTATTTGTTGTTTTACGGTTGTGTTTTCAATTATTTTCGATATTTCAAAAAATTATACCATCAGTGCCATAGCTTTAATTGTATTTATACATATGTGTGTTCATACCGTCTTTTTTACATAAAGAGCAATAATTACCGTTTCTGTTAAGCAATATATACAGGACCTTAAACCAAAAACATTTACGTACAAGTTTTGTGTTATTATAAAAAAAAACTGTTAAAATGTTTAACGGAATCACTAGTCAGATGAGTAGTTGGATTGGTAAAAAGCAAGAGGATGTAGAAGAAACTGTACCATCGCCAAAGACTGAACAGCCTGAGGAGTATATTGAAAAAAAAGAAGATTTAAGGTAGATAATTCTAAATTAAAATATTAGGTGCAACTGATTTTAGTTTAACTGATGATTTTTTATTTTTAGTCCAACAAAACCGCCTAGTAAACTAGAGTTGTTGGGTAATGTGAAAAATCAAATGTCCAGTTGGTTAGGAAGTGGTATATCTGGTTTGCGTAAAAGTGACAGCGAAGTTGTCCCAGACCCCCCAGCAGAACTTTTACAAGAAGCTGCCAAAGAGAGTTTTAAAGAGAAAGAAGATGATAACTCCAGGTGAGTTAAAAATAAATTGTTTCTTTATAGAAAATCTAACATTTATTTTAAATTTCTATGTGTTAGTGCCACTGGAGATCCAGATACTCCTATTTCAGAAGGAGAGGATGATTTGGGCAATACTCAAGGAGGAAATGGTAGTTTTATTATAACTGATTATATTAATTAAGTAAAGTTTTTCTAGATACTATTGTTAAAAGTTATATAAGTAAAAAATATATAATAATAATAATTTTTTTTTACATTTTTTTCAATGTAATAATATTAGTATCTAATATTTTAATTTTAAACATACTTATAGGTTACTTCAATAATGTTCTTTAATCATTTTTTTTTTTTAAACTTAAACATAGTTATTTTGATGTTCTTGTAATTATACCATTTTTGTTTTTTATATTTTCAGTATCAACTAAAGCTTTACAAGGAGCAAAATCAATAGGGAGCTTCTTGTATAGTGCTGTGAATAAAGCAGGAAAAACAGTCAGTGAAGCAGGAGCTAAAATCAAGAAAACTGTTGGAGAAAATGTAAGTAGCATGATACTTATAAATATATTTTCTATGTATTTATATACAAAACTTATAAAATTTTATAAATATTATTAATATATTTATACATTTATTTTCTACAAATATTTTGGTAAAAACTAAGAAATGATAGTTAAAACTAATCAATGTATTGTTAAAAGTTTAAAAATATGTATTAATTATTAATATTATACCATTTAACTTAATACAATAAAGATTACTTTTAAATTACCTATACAAAGTTATTAAAAAAATTAAATATTTATTTATTTATAAATAGTATCTTAAATTTTGAAATTTTACTTGAGTTTCATTTGAAAGAACATTAATTTTTCATTCTTGTTAATAAAAAAGTTAAATTAAATCGTTAAAAGTTAATCAATTCTATTAATTTTTATTTAATTGAGACATATATTGTTTAAAAAACAAAAAAATATAATTATCATTATTTACATACATAGACTTAAATTTTATTTGTTTTTTTTTAGATTCCTTTTAAACGACTTCAAATATTTATATTAATTTTCTTTACATTGATATTTTCTTTAGTAAATATTATTTTAAGCTTAAAATGAATAACAGTCTAAATAACATTCTTTAATTAGTTAATTTTTTCTAGAACATAAATGCATTATATTTAAAAATGTATCATTTGCTTATTTTGCCACCCTCTAGTAGCATATAAATATAACGAAAGTGCTTAAAGGGAGGGATGCTGTTTAATAGCAGTAGCAGTTTATTGATCCATCCTATCCCCTTGCATTTCCCTACCCTACTTATTGTACGGCTTTAAGCAACTACTCCCAACCTTGACCTAATACAAAAATAATATGTAATAAATATAGAAATATTAATGTGATAATGCACATTAATTAAATTTAATTGATTAATGTGTAAATAATATTAATCAGTATGAAAATAATATTAGTTAGTATTGATTATATTGTTTAAATTAAGTTTAGGTGAATAAAAATTATTATTGAGTTTTAAAATATTGTTACTTCATTTTTAAATTAATCATAGTTAAAAATAAAACAAATATTTATAAATATCTATTATGTCTTATTATTTATTATTCAATATTACAATTTATTCAAGTTTTATTAGTTATTTCTTATAACAGTTATGCACTTATTAATGTTTGTTGTTTATATAGAGCTAAACAATTATCTCAAAAACCTAATTTATACGCATATTTTCTTGATAAATAAATATATTTACATAGTTAGACAGATTACTGAGACATAATATCCTCAAAATAGGATTATTTAAAGATATATTTTAAGAAACCTCAATTAAATAGTTTTTTTCTTTTATAAAATGAAACACTATATAAATATATTTAATCAATTTAAAAAAATCTTTAAAATTTAAATTATAAATTAATACTTTAAATTCAAATTTTAACTTCAAACAATATTTTTTTAAATTACTTTGTTTAGCATGATAAATATAAATATATAATCAGCCACTCTTTATATATATATATATATTAAGTATTTCAGGTTGATAAAATATCTAGTAGGTTAGAATTCTTCTAGAATTTCTTTTTTAGAAAGTTTTTAGTATACATATTTATATATATAATAAAATAATTAATAATTATACGTAATTAAGAATAGTAAAAATAGTGTTTTATGCATATGTTGACAATTTGTAAAGTGGTATAAAGAAAAGTGTATATTGTGCTGAATCATATGTTATTTTTATATGTATATTTATTGTTAAATAGTTTAAAAAACTTTAGGTACATTACGTGGATAATAGGTTACCTATTCTTGTTTGATATGATTTAGTATTTTATTTGATTAGAGTATACTCTTTACAGTACATATTGACATTGTATTATAAATATTGTACTTTGCTTTGATTATTATACATAAAAATTTATATTAATGATTGTATAATTATATAGGGTATACTTGGGGAATTAAACAAAGAACAAGAGTCATTTTTAAAGGATAAAAAAGATAGCGATGTTGCTGCTGTTCCACCCTGGATTGGTCATCCTAATGAAGAAGCTGTTAAAGCTGAATGTCTTGCACTATCTACAGTTAGTATAAACTATAATATTTTAACTAAGTATATTTCTATTTTGGGAAGTCTTCATCATATCCTAATACTATTTAACTGTCAACTGTCCTTTCTTCTCAAAACCAAAATCTTCACTATTTACCATATCCCTTGTATACTCTAATACACACCACCAAATCATTATCTCTCAAACACTCTATACTTGGAGTCTCCAAACTACGGCCCACGGGCCGGATGGAGCCCCTGAATAAATTTTCACTGGCCCGCCAAATAATGGTAAATATTCTAAAAATATGTATAGTTTCCATTGTCGTTTCTCGGCCACGAGCAATTATCAGCTGTATTGGCTGTAATTTATAAATTATATATGAAAATTAAATGTGTTCCTACATTTTGGCCCGCTAAAAGCTTTTATTATTTTATGTGGCCCTTGGATAAAAAAGTTTGGAGACCCCTACTCTATACCATCAGTAATTTCATTATTTAATATTTTTAGTTTTACCTTTACTATGCTATATATTTTTATATTTATTATTTTATTTAAACCTTTTTAATATTAAGATTTCTTTTTACTTTAATTGTTATCGATGTTTTATTTTTTTTAGAGAAATTTATTTAGTTTTTGTGATTTTAATTTTTCATATTTTTAAAATTGATAAATAAAAAATATTCAATTTGATGTACCCATAGTTAAAGAAGTAAACTTACTCGCTTATCAATCCAGTCTTTTATTTATAAGTATTAATAATTGATATTAAACAATTTTAAAGGGTATGCTTTGCTTGCAAAGTTATTGTTCTGATTTTTATCTTATAATTTTAATGTAGATAAAAAATTGATTTAAAAAAAAAAATCATAATCATTTTGAAATTAGTATGTAATATATGATTTTATCATTATATTACCAAAATAACATAATAATAGACTTAGTATCTCAAATATTTTTTTGTTCCTCTTGTGACTTTGTATAACAAGCATTCACTATACATGTACCTATGTTTATAATTATTTATATAGTAAAGATTTTATTTCTATTGTATTTATAGGATAAGCGTAATTTTGTACGCAGTCCTCCAATAGGTGTAGATTTCAGTTTCAATTATGAAACTTCATATCCTGTTGCTTTGGCAATTTTAGCCGAAGATCCAAACTTAGAGAAAATGCGATTTGATCTTGTTCCCAAAATGTAAGTAGTAATCCTCATAATATGATTATAAGTGTCTTATTTGAGAAATTATTTTACTTAGAATAAATGAAGAAAGTTTTTGGCAAAACTATTTCTACAGAGTCAATTTAATTTGCAATGCAAGCAATTTGGAATCACTAGAAACATCAGATTACAAAACAGCATCACCAAATGTCAATTCTGATTTGACAGGTAATTAAATGAAGATGAATAATTTATTACATATTAAATATAATAATATGTAAATAATAAGTATACACATTAAAAAAAAACTCTTTATTTAAATAATTACTTAAAAATCTAAATATGATAATGTTTTTGTTGTTGCATGATGTTATCTTTGTACAAAATGTACTTGTTTTTATGCCAATTACTTCAAATTTTAGTGATATACTGCACATTTTATTATTTAAATTAGTATACACTTTATTTTGCTTCTTTTAAAAATTATTATTGTAACAATAGACACCACGAAAAATGACATTTATATGAAAGAATCAGAGTTTGTATCCGACACATTTGCAGAACATGATACAAATGAAATAAATGAAATAAGGAAGAGTTTGAAAGAAAGTTTGGGCGTTGAGTCTTCAGAAAATGGTAAGTTAAAGAAAAAGGTCTATATCCAAAAAACCATATACTATTTTATTGAACTTAATTTTAATCTGTATATATAAACATTACTATCCTGAGTGACTGATTGATTATCAACATAAAATTGAACCTATTAGAGCTATCAATTTTTCAAGTTTGAGAGTAGATTAATATTATAATTTACTGTGCATTAAGAAAGGATTTTTCAAAATTTTGATTTTAAGGGGTTGAAATTGGCAAAAAAACAAAAATTTACGCGTGAATTGTTTGATTATATACATCAATGAAAAAGCTCTTATAAGTCTGAAGTCTCTAGCTCACATTTTTAGATTCTTTTTCACATGGACAATTTAATGTAGCATACTTCAGTAATATGTTTATAAGTTTACTAATTTTGGCACTAAATGGAAATTCATCAAAGGTAGTTTATAGAGGTTTTCTGATAAAATTGTTATCATAAATTATGATTTTTTATTTTATACTTATTAAAATTTCATAGGTAAAGTTGTAGTGGGTAACTTGCTGGTTTATTTATAGATAGGGTATAGGCTCATACTAATTGTGATTATTTTTTATAATATACACAAAATCTTAGTACATCATACATTGTACCTATAAAAAAAAATAATTATAATTTTAAAACTTAAAATTAAAATGTTAGTAATGGACTGAAGTATACATGCAATTTATACTTTACAAGTCTATTAAGCAATTAATAAATATTTGAATCAATACCTTTTTTTGATATAGACTGTTTTACTTTTTATATTTTCATGGAAATAAACAATATGAGGAATTATTTTAGATGTACTTTAACAAATAGTTTTGTATCATCATAAATGTGAATAATATTAGTTTTGTTTAATATTAATTATTGTATGAATGCACATAGTAAAATATTTTAATTAATTATAAAAATTTAAATTAATAAACACATTATGCATGGTCATGGAATTCAAAATTTATAAATAACAAAAATTACTGAAAAATGAAAAAAAAAATTTTTTTTAATTTGATTATTTTTTCTTAGTATTGAAAATATGGTTCTTCAAAACATTTACATAGTTTTTTAAAATGTATTTGTTGAATTAATGCATATTATGTGGATTTGTTATTTATACTTGTTTATAATTTGATATTGCACTATTTTTTTATCATGTATTCATGTTTTTTTTTTTGATAACTATAAATTTTATTTGACATCCATTTTAATTAGTTTGTTTTTTTCCATCTGATATGCATGATGACTTCGTATAATTTATGTATTGAATTCCTCAAAGTTCTCATTTTTTTTTAAATGAAATACACGCAATTGGTAAGTAAAATTATTTCATGATTGAATGATTTAATGACAATATTTGTAGATGTCCCCTACTTAATTATTGTACTAGGAATTAGGATTAATATTCAGTATATGCTTATTTTCTAACATACATGAAATTCATTTAAGTATGTGTGTAGACTGAATGTATATCTAAACAAATATGTGTGTGTGTGTGTGTATTGTGTTAACAGCTTGAAACGATGTCAACAAATTGCAACTACAAGACGACTTTCTTTAAGCGTTTCGCTTCCATTCCCCCAAAAGCGTATTTTCTCTTCTATTGGCTTTTCCTATATCCTTATTGTGCAATATTAATTTATACCTATAAGATCTATAAATATTTTTCCTATCCTTGTGTGTTTATTAAAAATTTTCGGATCCGGTTTGTAGAAGAACATTGGGAAAATGAATTGGAGGCAGAACTACAAGAGTACGAGATTGTCAAGAACAATGATAATGGCCAAACAGACAATACAAAAACTGGATTCGGTGAAATATATGACCTCAAATAATTGTTTATTATATAGCTGTTAGGTCTCAAAAATATTGTTAAATATTGATTTTTTAAGGCTGGTGTTCTAATGTAGAATTTAGATTAATTAAGTAATGATTGACTGTTTTAAATTTTATTATTTACAACATTAATTCTATTATATAATATACCATACCTAACCAAAAATTAATTACCATTTAAGGTTAAATTAAAAAAAATTACTTTCATGTTGTTAAATTAGTGATAATTTATTATTATTATTATTATTAATATTATATATTATTAAATTATTATTACAATACAATTTATTAAACATGATTATTATAATACCTAATAAAACAATTTGTTATTATTATTTATTTTCGTAGCATAATATATTTAAGATACATAATATATTTCAGACTTAAAAATAAAAATCATAAGAATACAAAAGATAGATAAATTAATATACATGTACCATACCATATAAAAATCTGTCGATAAAGAATTAAGAATAATTATAAATTTCAATGCTTTAATTACTTAATAAATTCATACGTTATACAGAACATAATACTAGATTAATATAATAAATAGTTATGTCTACAAAAAAGTAGAGCTGACAGTTGCCTAATATTATACTTAATTGACTTAAAACTTGTACAATGTGCAGCAGAATTAACTCCTTAGTTTGATAGATTTGTAATTTAGGTTGAGATTGAGATTAAACTAATAGGATTTATATCGATAGAAAGATTTATTTATTTATGTCATTATTAGTATTTATCATGGCTTAGTAGGAAGAACATTGTGTGTTTGTTATTGAAGAATTTATTAATAATTCCAAGACATATTATTTCTTTATGTGATAACATTGAATAGCCATTGCGTTCACCAAATTTGAGCCCATGCAATTTTTTCCTGTAGAGCTACCTCAAAAGCCAAGGGTACTAACATTGTTTCCAAACTTTAGGAGTACTGATAGAGATAATAACTCAGAAAAGTTGCAGCCATTTTGCTTAAAATGGCCCGTAGGTCATAGAAAATTATTGAAAAAGGTACAATCAGCGTTTTGAAAATGAGAGCCATTTTTTAAGTGACAAAATTTTTAAAAATAATTAAAATAAAATGGCATTAAATGTATAATTTATAAATTAATCATGTTTTTAGATATTTGATTTGGTTTGATATTTAGGAGTTTCACAAATTAAGGAGATTTTTCTGCTGCATCATGTATATTCAATAATTGTTAGTTTAACTTTGAACTATTATATACTAAATCCCTTGATATGGGGTTAAAGTGTTATGTTATGTTGTGTTGACATTTATATTAATTTTTTGACAATATACTAAAAGTAAAACAAACTGAATTTTAAGCCTTATTCAAATCTTAAAAATTAACTTACAACCATGGATACAGAGTATTTAACCATTTTGTGGCCAAAAAATTAAAGGGTAAACATATTTAATAGAATTTTTTACCCTTCCACATGAGTGGGGTTGTGAGTGGTAAACCAAGAACCTCCAAATCAGAAAACACTGCTTATACTCTATGTATAGATATTGTAAGCAAAATAATTTATAAATTCCCCTCCTCTATGAACTTTGAAATTATTTTATTGGCAATAATAAATGTACTGTTATATAAAACGGCAAAGTATAGACAAAATTTGTACCACTAAGGCTAAAATATGTATATAATTAATTTAAATTAGAAATTTAAAAATATATATATATAGTTGCTTAATTCTTTAAGTTATATTCTACAAAAATCATATCTTTATTATTTTTTTTCCAAACTTTGGAGCTCCTATGTATATTTGTATGCCATTCTTTCTAATAAAAAAAAATAATTGCATGGGATAGGAATTTATAAAAATTTTAAAAAATTGAGTTTTGCATGTAAAAAGTTCAAAAAGCGTAAGAAATTAAAAAAGAAAAAAATGTTCTTAGTTAGTTTAAAATGAGTATTTCATAATTACAAATTTAAATTCTTTATTTAGGGGACTGGCAAAATGTAAGTCCATAAGTGTTTTTATGTAATTAAACAAAAATTACTCTTATATTGATGGATTAAAATAATTTAGTAAAATTGTCAATTAATTTTTTTCATTATTAATATTTAGGCTCTCTGTACATTTTATCAAGTCAAGGATCTTCAGGCAAATGCCCTTATTCTCCCTCTCCTAATAGAGTCATAGTATACATTAAATTCAAGTTAATAAGTATTGATTTCATTAAAGATATTAAAAATATACAAGACTACTAAATTATCATATGTTACATTTAAGTTAAATTTAAAAGTTTGTAAAATAGCTCTTAAAATATTCATTAAGTTCTTTTGAAAATAAAATTACATATTATGTCAAAATTTAATTTTAAATTGTTATTTTCATATTTAATATTAATAAAATATATAATGACATTATGCAAAATTTAGAACTGAAATAAAATTTAACTAGATAATACTTTAGATACTTTATCAACCTTAGAAACTTGTAGTAGATAAAATGTTAACTTAGTTTTATACCCTATATTTTATTATTATTTACTAACATACTATTATTAATGATACAGTAAAACCACCACAACATTTTTTATTATATTATTAGCATTATAAAGTTATAAATCATGAAAATATCTAGTTAAAATTTTCTTAACTTATAAAAACTAATAATGATTTAATTAAAAAAGGATACGTCCAAAATAATACATATGTCTGAAAATATTTAATTAAGGAAAATAATTGTAAATGTGTAATAATTTTAAACATTTGTAATTCACAGGTTGAAATGTATAGTAAACAATCACTAAACATAAACTAATGGTCCTTTAAGGTAGGTTATACATGCAGAGGCAAACAAGTTAAAAGAAACCTTCCAACCTTTTGAAGAAAAAAAAGTTTAATCTTATTACATTGGTTATAATTAAAGCGCGGATTTTTATGCATTTGTATATTTATTCTTATTGATCGTACGATATTCTTAGCACAAAATTTGTTTCATGACACAACAATTTAAAAAATGAAATTTATTAAGTGCATATATTGATGTTTTTAAATATATACTATTGCAGTCTATTATAATATATGAAAAAATATTATATTTATATAGTTTTGATTAATATCAAAATAAATTAATAGGTATAAACGGTTTTTTCAAATATGATCAAGATCAATAATCAGGAAAATAAATATTTAAAATAATCTTATCAAGATATTATGAAAATATTGATTACAGCCATGATTAAATACTGACATTATTTCACTATTGTTCAAAAAATTATTTTTTTATTTTTGTGCATATTTTAACATTTCAGTTCATATATTTATGCATATTTAAGATTTTTAGTGGATATTTGGTTAGTTTTTAATGCATATAAATCCACACTCTAATTATAATAATTAATAAGTATAAATTACAAATATAATATTAATCTGAACCTGAATATTATATGAATTAATGTTTTTAAGTATAAATTTTAATAAAAGGATACAAAAAGTCCACTGAAAAAACCTCCTGTTAATAGACTATGTCTGTTGAGGAAATATTTTTGCCATAAATTACCTGCTTTGAACAATAACAAGCCCTGAAAAAAAAAATTAGGCATTTAATTCTTATCTGATTGAAGTTTTTCACTTTTTTTAATCACCATTAATAAAACTAAAATTAGTTATAAGATTTATAGATAAATATTAAGACATGTATTTAAAAATACCTAACAATATTAAAAAATTATTTCATTTTTACTTTTTTCTCTTAATAATATTTTGTATTAAATTGTCCACATTTAATTTAAGTGTATTATGACTATTAATGGAGTAAGTAGTTCTAATAAAAAATATTAATATATTTTTTTTAACAAACCAATTTTCAATTTTGAGAAATTTATATTTGATGTAACAATAGATAAAGACAACCAATATACTTTTTAAAACTATACATGCCATATATAGTTCAACAATTCAAAATTATTTAACCCACCTGATTTCAGATCACATGTTTTAAAAGTTAAATTTTTGTAAAAATATAATTTCATTGTAGCTATAATATGACTTCAGTTATATTCAAATTTAACACATATTTTGATATAAATGCACTGAATATTTTGTTATACATTTTTTAGTATTTCATTAAAATACGAAATGGAAAAGATCAAAATATAGAGATAAGATAATTTGCTAGGTTTAATTTGAGAGATAAAATGTAATGGTTTGAAGAGTAATATGTAAAATTAGGTTTAAAATTTAACTTAAGGAATTTGTTCATCTGTGAATCAGATTAATAATAATTATTTAAATGGACAATAACATTAGGTGTTTAAAAGCAATAATTCTCTTAAATCCTATTTTTCTGACTTGTAAACATTATTTATTTTTTTTATTAAATTGAATAAGATATTTCTGACTAATAAAATAATAAAATTTATAAAAAAAATAACAAAAATAATTATTTATAAAAGTAAGTTACCCATAATGCTAAAACGGAAAATACGTAGAATACGAATCCAGATAGTCCAGTTAAACCGAGAATGCCAGCAGTACAACCAGATAAGGCAGACATTGAAGTACGGCAGTATTCAACAACTGATGAATTGTTGCGAAGAGCCGGTTCACTGTAGGATACCAATTCTACAAATATTGTGCATTATATTAACCAACAATTAATGTAGGTTTCATTTATTTATAAAAAAATATTATTTTATAATTGAAAATAACCTTTAAATTTTGTTTCTTTTGATTCTTTGATTTCTGTCATTTTGATGTAAATTACGTTGACGGACGAGAGAAAAAATTTAATTTATTTGTAAAATAGATTAGTTTATAGATTTTTAATTCTTATGTAATAATTAATAATACAAAAATGATTAGAAATTAGAATATAGTGTGTTTACTTAAAGTTCTTAGTCAACACTCTGTAATTCTGTATAGTAGGCATGCATAGTAGTTAATATAATAATGAATAATGATTCCTTTCAAGTCCTTATCATACCATATTATCATTTTTCTTGTACTGTGGTTATGAGATAAAGATGATATCCCGTCTGCTTTATAACCGTGGTATACAATGTATATTTTCATGTTGATTAATCATATTATTAAAGATTACCAGACATATTGTAATCTTTAAGCTGAAATAAATGCATCTTCTTTGAAAAACGACATTCAGAATTTTGAGGTTAACAAATACCGATGTCAACGTGTTTTTTTTTTTTTTATCGGGAATAAAATTGAAAAGTATATACATCACGTTTGAGCTATATACCTATTTTAATAGGTATTTGTTCTAAATGCTTATTTATTCTTGAATTATTGTGTGTTTCAAGTTCTATAGTTCTTAGTTAAGTCCATAGTATCGATACTTTTATACTTGTTTTTTTAAAGTTAATAATTTCATAAGGTATGAAAACTTCGTCATTATTTTTATTAGTTGTACATTCTAATAAATAAATTTAGTGTGAAAGTTTATAACGATATTGAGTACTTCTAATACAGAATCAAACACATTCTTGAATAATAATGAAGACATTTTTTTTTTAGCTTTTAAATCTTTTTTGAAATGCCGCGAAACAAAGCTGTCGAAGAGACCGATAAACAAATCCGAATAGCTATTGTGAATAATGATAAATGTAAACCTAAAAGATGTCGTCAAGAATGCAAAAAATCTTGTCCTGTCGTAAGGATGGGCAAATTATGTATAGAAGTAGCACCCAATGATAAAATAGCTTCAATATCAGAAGAATTGTGTATTGGTTGTGGTATTTGTGTCAAAAAATGCCCTTTTGAGGCAATAACTATCATTAATTTGCCTAGCAATTTGGAAAAGGATACTACACATAGGTATTCAAAGAATTCATTTAAATTGCATAGATTACCTACACCAAGACAAGGTGAAGTCTTAGGTCTAGTTGGAACTAATGGTATTGGAAAGTCTACTGCATTAAAAATACTTGCAGGCAAACAAAAACCAAATCTTGGTCGTTTTTCAGTGAGTTGATTTAAATTTAATATGGAATCCTGTCAATATTTTTTCCAGATATTTAACATAAGTTTTACTATCTTTAAAACATTCATAGGATCCACCTGATTGGTCTGAAATACTAAATCACTTTAGAGGATCAGAACTACAAAATTATTTTACTAAAATTTTAGAAGACGATTTAAAAGCAATGATAAAACCTCAATATGTTGATCAAATTCCCAAAGCTGTTAAAGGTACTGTTCAACAGTTGTTGGATAAGAAAAACGAACGAAATAATATTGAAGAAATATGTGATTTCCTCGGTATGTTAGTAATTATAGAATAATTATTTCTTAATTACCATTATTTATTTATGTAAAAAAGACTGATCTCAATTAAATATTTGTATATATTATATTATATAATGTTAATTATTTATTTAGAGTTGGATAAAATCAGAGATAGATCCATCGAACAACTTTCTGGTGGAGAATTACAGCGTTTTGCATGTGCAATGGTGTGTATACAAAATGGGGACATATTTATGTTTGATGAGCCTTCTAGTTACTTAGATGTGAAACAGCGTCTAAAAGCTGCCTTAACTATACGATCCTTAATTGCTCCTGATAAGTAAGTGATTTTTTGAAAATTATCTTAAAATTAATACAATTAAAACTTTAAAAAATAATTTTTAGATACATTATTGTAGTAGAACATGACTTGTCAGTGTTAGATTATTTATCTGATTATATTTGTGTCCTTTATGGAGTACCTGGAGCCTATGGAGTTGTTACTATGCCTTTCTCAGTACGTGAAGGTAAGAAATATTTTCTTATTGGTTTAATACTTTATATTTGTATATTAAAAATAAATATATTTTAGGCATAAATATATTTTTGGATGGATTTGTTCCAACTGAAAATCTTCGTTTTCGAGATGAAAGTCTTATTTTTAAAGTCTCAGAAAGTGCTACTGAAGAGGAAGTTAAACGCATGACTCATTATGAATATCCAGAAATGACTAAAACTTTGGGCAATTTTTATTTAAAAGTTGAAACAGGTCAATTTACAGATTCTGAAATTTTAGTTCTGTTGGGTGAAAATGGTACTGGAAAAACAACATTCATAAAACTTTTAGCTGGTATTATGCCAGCTGATGGTGCCAAAGGTATTATACATTTTTATTTATATTTGATATACAAATGTATTATTTTTTTTTAATTGAAATAATTAATAAACATAATGTTGCAGCTGAATTACCAAGGTTAAATGTGAGCTATAAACCTCAAAAAATCAGCCCTAAGAGTCAATGTTTGGTGCGAGTTCTTCTACATGAAAAGATTCGAGATGCTTATATACATCCACAGTTTGTAACAGAAGTCATGAAACCATTAAAGATTGATGATATCATGGATCAAGAAGTTCAAAATTTGTCTGGTGGAGAACTGCAAAGAGTTGCTATTGCACTATGTTTAGGAAAACCTGCCGATATATATTTAATAGATGAACCATCTGCTTATTTGGATTCAGAACAGCGTTTAGTTGCTGCTAAAGTTATCAAACGATTCATTTTGCATGCTAAAAAGACAGGATTTGTGGTAGAGCACGATTTTATTATGGCAACATATTTGGCTGATCGAGTTATTGTATTAGAAGGCCAACCATCAGTAACATCTACAGCAGATACCCCTCAAGGGTTATTAGCTGGAATGAATAGATTTTTGGAGCTGCTTGGAATTACTTTTAGAAGGGATCCTAATAACTTTAGACCTCGAATTAATAAAACAAACTCTGTAAAGGTGAATAAGAAATTATTTTTATTTGAAATTAAAATATTACTTAATATATAATATCATTAACAAAAAGTTGCTGAAATCAAAATTGATAAAATATTCAACATTACAACTTATTAGTTATAATATAATAAGATACTCCAAAATTTTAAAGTTAATTCCAAAATTATTTTTCAAATTATTGATGTAAGACTAGTTAGTCAATGATAATAAATAATAATACACCATCAGGCCATTATCAAATTTTTTTTGTTACAGTAAAAAAATATGCTGTTTGCTACTTTTTACTTTTTATTAAAGAAAAATAAGTTTAGATTTGTTAAAAAAAATTAGTTTTAAAATATATACAGAAAAAATATACAATTTCTACAACTTCCAAGCCCTAGTCAATAACATGAATCTGATATTTTTTCGTTTACTGCATTAAGATTGTTATTTAATTATAGATAAATAAATTATGGCCATGTATTAACATAGTTTACCTATATAATTATTTCTATAATTAGACATTATTAAATTAATACTTAAAAAATTAATTTTTTTCTTCTAGGATGTGGAACAAAAAAGAGCTGGTCAATACTTCTTCCTGGAAGATTAAGAAACAATATTGTTCAATTGTTTCATAAACTCGACTCTTTTTAAGTATAATTGAATCAATTGAATATATACATACATATATATATATATAATATATATTTTTTAATATTGTGTAAAATAAATTAATTTATTACCTTCTTCCATTTAATTATTTGATAATTTTAAAACAGTTAAAACAACTTATAATATAAATACATGAGTATATTTCGAACAATTAAGTATAGTTTTGAATAGAGAGTGACCAGTCATGTATTGTATTGAAATTATTATTTACATTGGTACTTTTGAACTGCAATTTGAATGTATTCATTTTTTATTGTTATTTGCAATTACCTTGCTTTAAATGGATAACTATTAATTTCAATTTACTATCAAATATCAAAATGTTTTATACTTCTGAATAAAGTTAGTATACAATTTTTAAGATAAATATTTAACTATTCAAAAACGTTCCTTACACATTATTTTTAGTCATCTATTAATTAAGATTAAATAACATTTATAAATAAAAAAAAATAAATATTTTATTTCAAATTATTGTAATAAAATATTAATGATTGCTCATCATAATCAAAAAAATTTTATTTAAGTACAGATAATTAAGTTTAAATTTGTTAAATAACATAACTAATCATAAAAGTTCTAATAGTTTTGTTTTTGTATTAATATTTTGATCTTAGTGTAAGAATAAAACGTACCATATATTACATCATATCACACCACAATTTAAATTTGTTGAAAATTAATTCATACATGTTCATGAAGTGTTTATCTGATGATTTATTGATTTCTATATGGCGTGTTTGTAAGTACATTTATTGATAACATAGTAAAAATTTCCTATTCGTTATCTTTGTGTCTATAAATTACAATATCTATAATGTATACATTCATTTAATAATTTAATATCATTATTTTTTTTCTTTGAAATTGATTGGTCATATCTCATATACCTCTATTATCTATACCTAATATTCTACATTTTAAGGAACTGAATAATAGATAAGAAATTATCAGGCATCAATATTGGACGTCGACTTAAAACATTTCTATACAAATAAATTATGATTACTTATTAGTTATTAGTAAAGTATATTATGTTCTTAGTTCTGTCGATTCAATTTACCAACAATTGGGTTTTTTTTAGTTTTTTGCGTACATTGAAGTTGTAAATGAAAATTAATCTAAATAAAATTGTATGGGCGTTGAAAACCAGTTTTTAGAAGTTGAAGATTTGTATTTAACACGATTTAACATGTAGCTAATGTCAATGTTATAAATTTATGCAAATATTTGCTTAACGCTTCGGCACACAGAACGCGGACTGACCGCGCGGTTTCTGTAATATAATACAACCGGATAGCTACCCGCGGTGGTCTTGTGCCCGAGCATTTAAAGTTTAAGATTAAGTTAACTTTAATTGATTTCTTGATAAATTGCGAACATTTGTTACATATGAAACTGGTTACCCAGGCAACATTAGATTTGCTGGAGAAAAATTCGATTCATAATAGTTTCCATAGATTAAACTAACAATTACCATAATCACGTTCCGAGTTCATCAGATGTTGAGGTAAAAAAAAACACTTAATAATCTAAA